GTGAATCCTGCGAACTGCGTGTGGAGGTAAGGTTATTTGTCATGAGCCTACTTTTCCCACAGTTTCTTGAGCTTAGCCGACCGGTTCGTCCAGACAAGGAGGAAGTTCCTGTTTACCCACATGAGGTAACTTTAGGGTGTTCATGCAGTTCATTAAATAGTGTCGACGTCAAGGAAAGTCCTATAGTGCCGAGTTACGCTTAAACATTCGTATATCCCTAAATGGTTCACCTGCGGGTGTATTTGAAATATCTGGGGGTGAATTACCAGTAATGGTTTTGTCCAAAGCTTGCAACTTGTCCCGGATAAGCCGCAACGATTATCCGAAACACGGTGAAGAGGAAAGAGAAATTGGTGGGTATTTCATTGTCAACGGAAAAGAAAGAGTGCTGCGTCTCATTGTAATGACTAGACGCAATTTCGTATGTTTTTCGAAATTTGATTTATTTTCTGTTAGCCCTTAGCTGTTTCTAGGTCTTCCTTCAAGAAACGGGGTCATGGCTACACAGAATACGTAGTGCTAATGCGCTGTGTTCGCGAAGATGAAACTGCAGCCGTGAGTATTAAAGTCTGTCTTCAAATGTAATCGGTCTTTAAATTTTTGTGGTTGTGCTGTGTGCCATGTGGTAGTTACGTGTTTAGGTTAGTCGTAATAACAATGAGGTACAATATCACACCATTTCTTGTGTTCCGTTGTTTTTGAGATATCATCATTATACAATTTCATCGATCATATCCATACTGATAATGTAAAAAGCAAATAAGAATGTCTATGGTGAACTGGCAGGGGGCCTATTTTGAGACGGGTGGAGGTCAGAGAATGAAAACCGCAACGGCCCTCATACGGTACGCAAGATGCCTGGACATATACCCGTCTTCCAACCTTCTGCCCTGTGAAGTAAGAACGCGACTGCTATCCGTTCGCTATCATATCCTTTAAATTTCTTCACCCAGCGGATTCCTCTTTCCGACCCCAGCCTGGAAAACGGGAGACACCTATTCTGTCTGATAGCACTGCACTTCTTAGTGCTTCGTTCCCAATTCTGTTGACCACTTGCTTTCCTCTAATCATAGGCAGCAACAGCGAATGAGGTACGATACGATAAACGAAAGCTGAACATTTGCAATGCTTGTCCTGACTAGCGTAGCTTACTAATCTTCATTCGATGTGATAGCGAATTTCCCGCCGAATTACTCTCAAATACTTGTCAAATTCCACGCTCGCTCTATCCAATTTGCGACAAACCCCATACACATCGATAATCAAATACTTAGCGCAGCAAAGTAACGCTGGTTCTGAGCGTTCGTCAAATAAGCTTCGATATCATCCTGGCGGAAAATACTCACCTACTCTGTATTTGACCACCGATGCCTTCGAAACGTTGCTCGTGTCTGGTGGGAACACCGGGTGAGCAATGAAGAAATAAGTCATCGTTCGCTGGGTGCTGATAGTCATTCTCTAACAGAAATAATNGTACTCGACCACCGATGTCTGCGAAACATTGCTCGTGTCTGGTGGGAACACCGGGTGAGCAATGAAGAAATAAGTCATCGTTCGCTGGGTGCTGATAGTCATTCTCTAACAGAAATAATCGCTCTACACCGATAACTTGGTCACGTTTTGGTGTATGCTTGCCCATCGACAACCTATATGTGCTGTTTTGCGCCCGTGCTGGGCAAGGTGTGAATAAGAGCCGCGGCGGTCGGACCAAGATCGGGCTTAGAGGTATGAAGAAAGCATTAACATTGATTTCGGTAGGTGTAGCTCGCCTTCCGGGCTGGGGACCAAGGAATGATGATTTTACAGACAGATATGGCTCGAAAGAGGTCAGTGGCGTGATTGTTATGTGGTCTGTTTGTCGAAACCCCATTCCCCCAATAGACAAAAGCTGAAAAATGTGATATGAACCCAAAAACAGTTATTTATTCATTCTCCCTGTTCTCTTTTCCCCATTTTCCTTTCAATCTGTGCCCCTACTACGTTTTTATCAATTCTGTTGCGCTTGCACCATGCTTGTCCTCAAGCCAGTGTGAAATATATCTTCCAACATAGGTTTGTGAAAGATTAAACTTGTTTATCGTTATTTTCGTAGCTAATGATGCTTCATTGGCTGGTGAATGGAGAACCAACGCTTGCGTTCGTAGTGGAGCGCGAACAGTTTTTCGTGCCAATATCTATTCTTCTCCGGGTGAGTTCAGTCATTTAATGAGCCTGTATTGACCTTTTAGGATTGCTGAATATTTAGTCTGAAATGCATTCGCCATCGAATTCTCACTACCGGTCGGCTAAAACGTCACAAATTTTCCATTATTTCCGTTGGATATATACCATTTTTAAGCACGCATTCTTGACGATTTCATGTCCTCTGTCGTGGTTGATTCACACGTCATAACCCCGTTAACTCCACTATTTCCTGTTTCCATTTTACTACTTTTTTCGTACATTTTCAAGATTCAGTTGCATCGTTCTCGGCTCAAGATAAACATTTAAACGAAACAATGATGGTTACCTTACCTTTTTCCCAGCAGTTATTTTAGAAAAGGAAATGCTTAGATTTTAATAAGCAGCACGAACCGGATTTCAATGCTTTTACTTCCATGATATTTGAAGTTTGCTTTTACACATATCTAATGTGCTTCAATTAAATCACTGCACAATAATCTTGACAAAAAGTTCCATCATTTTCTTTATTACACACTTTCGTGCGATGAACAGCAGGCGGGGTAACCCCCGTGGTCACGAGGACCTGCTGTTCAGTGATGGAAACTGGTAACCTAAGCCCTTGGACTTGGAATGGTGAACCACATAAGGCCCCGATAGGTTAGGCGTGGTATTGAACCGTACGACAGCAAAGCTGCCTACCGCCAAACGAACGCAACACTGCTAGGTTGGATGAGTCAGAGCAGGTGAACCTTCTTTAAGATTTACAACCGGAACCTTCCACTAGTCAAACCCTCAAGACATCGGGGCGATGTGTGAAAAACCACAATCCATTGGGGGCTGGTGTCCATTCCATCGGATCATACGCCATTTGGACGCGGTCGAGCGTTCAAGATGCCCAATGTAATCCGTGACCACTGTCACAGCCAGGAAGGTGTGGATGTGTGGTTCATGTGCCTCTTCTTTTTTGGTTTGAAATAAGAGTTTTTAGCCAACTCTACTGGGCTAGTGGTTCACCGACCTGTTTATATGTTGACTTTTTGTCCTCACTTTGTTGGGAAAATTTCCGTTACAGGAAGGCATGGAGTAGCTCTTCCCCGACAAAAACTACTTGAGACACTTGGTCTTATGGGAAAAGTTTGCCAGCCGCAAACCGAGATACGCCCGGACTATATTGACCGTACATGAATTATGATCAAAGCAAGACCAAAGTAGGGTATCAAATAATCTCGGGTTTTTAAGGAGCAGCCTATTTTATCTTTTTGAAGTACTAGTTTTGAAGTTTAACATCATTGATTTTGTACATTTTGTTTATATAAGTTTATTCGAAACTGAAAGGAAAAGTATTTCTACTGAATGAAATCCGTGTGGGATTTAGGTACGGAGTTAAAAGATACTCGTACTACAATGTGAAAAATAATCACTTCTCCCAGTATATCTTACCATGGGTGAAGGGAATCATACCGACCTGAATTATTAACAAGTTAAATTCAGCTGACCGAAACCTCAGCACTTCTCTGACAGAGTGACATCCACGCTGCTTTATTGGCGGCTGCATGTATCATTTNGCAAGGATCGGTGTAAAAGTTTCGTAATCAGTTGTCTACAGCAGGTACTGCATGAAAGCTTTGCGACTCATCAGTGCGTTTTGTAGTCTATCCCCTCGATTAACATAATTCAAAAAATATGACATCGTCACTGGCTTTCAGCCTCCACCGTCAATTACACAGGTCTGGCGTGAAAATGTTCAAGTGATAAAAACAAGTATGCAGTCATTTTGTACCCGAGTCCTGCCTATTATCTAACAGTGGTTTCTATAGTCAATAACCCTACTGTCTTTTTATCTAGGCACTTGTGGCAAAAACAGAATTCGAAATATTTGATGACATACGTCGTGGCAGTGGCGAATCGCTTTCCCTGGAAGAGTAAGCTCACCCGTTATCGCTTATAGTTTTCAATCAGGTTCTCACATTTCCATGGAAACTGATCGTGCTTATTTGTGGGTACTTTCTATCAGGGCTGCTATGCGGATACTGGTTCGTTTGAAAGATGACGATTATAGCTCCCAGACGCGAGCACTTTCTTATCTCGGTCGCCTCTTCCGTGGCAGAATGCATGTGTCAAGTGGATCGACTGACGAGGAAGCCGGTGTCTACTTACTAAAGTGAGTGATCTTTACTTCCATTAGCCCCTTATTCATATTTGATCTGCTGTTCTCGTGATTGCTCTCTTTTTATCGGTTGCGTATTTAAGCGGTTTTGATAACTCGGTATTCCCAAGGTTCGCAATGATAGATGTTCGAAAAATTGATCACGATGTGTTCACATGGCTAAAGTTCGGATATAAGTGCACATGATGAACTTGAAAACCGAAAATTTGGTACGCCACATTTCATTTTGCAGTTGGTTTTTCATGGTTCAGGAAAGCACATAGAGGCCCATTTAGCGGTTGATTGGAGCCGTCTTTTTGACGGTGCCTGATGCTCAGTTTTTGTTATATGAATAAATCGTTTATTGTCTTTCGAATTGATAAGTTCATTTTTCGTTTCGGCTTTTGAATTGACAGATGCTTTCGGATGTTTATGATTCACTAATTTGATGTTTCTTTCTGTGGTATTGTGATGTGAGTTGTAGAGGAAATCTTTCTTTAGATCGCGGGGCCACAAATTTTGTCATCAAATCCTATGGATAACAATTTTAATCAACCCTAAAGCTACCGGCTGCGGTCATCTGATTTGAGACAGCGTCACTTTGGTCGTATTAATCCAAATTTACCTACAGCTGTTGTTTCAGCACAACAGTTGCTATGTTGGGTCCGTGTTCGATGCTCAGTTCTACATCGCTTGGTTTGAGCAACCAGTTTCTGTGTTTGAAGGCGCTAGGTTTCTATTTATCTCATGGTGGGTTTTTTTAATATTCGGGAATGGTTTGCTAAGTTCCGTCCCCGGCTGTAAGTAAACCAAAGGTGTACCTTTTGGGTTTGCACTTTTTTAGCCAGAGTATGATTTGCAGGTAACGATCAGCAGTGAAGTAAATTGCAGTTTATTAGATAGCTTTAATCCGTGACATTCTTCGAATAAACCCACCCTCTTGCTGGAGTTAGCTGCATCAGAATAAAAAAGTATGATCTTACAACGACCAACCAACTGTAAGATGTCTTACCACTTTCACCTTTTACCCTTATTTTTAGACAATTTGTAGCCATTCATCTGGACTCTTTCGTCGACAAGTACCATCTTTTGTGGTAAGTTGAAAAAAACCTGGTCCATCTTGGTTAATTTTTCACACCATGTATGTCCACAAAGCTACTGTTTAATTGTTTTTGATGTTAAGTTTAAGTGATGGGGGTCATATAGTTTAACTTCCCGTTACTGTTGTGTGCAATCTGTAAACCCCATCAACCGGAACCCATTTTTGACGGCAGAAAGTATTGATAGCACAGGTACAACAGATATTCCGTGAAAACATCGAGTCTTACTGTTCTATGTCATGACTCAGGTTACCTGTTAACATATGCTGAATAACAGGTCCTCACAATACTGTGGTTTCTCCCCTCTGCTTCTCAGTACAACAATGTTTTAAGTCAAGATATGATAGTCTATTGTTTTGTACGCGCTGCACGTGGAATATTTGTGTAGCTCCTCGTAAATTTGTTTATAAATTTAAAATTGAATACATCCGGAATGTGACGTACTTATGGAATCGAAACAGATTCTTCATGTGCTAATTAACTTGATTGCATGGTTGGGGATCCTCAGTGTTCGTCTCCTCAACAGTTGGGTTGTTACTGTAGAAAAACCCCACGATCTCATGCGGAATTTTTGTTGGTCAAGTTGTCATTATTAATATGCGCGACCGTAGAAAGTTACGAAGGAACCTGTTTTACGCTTGAGTTTTGCATCCTTTACAAACGTGTACATTGATAACTCATACTTATGTTCCTCATTTGCAATCTTTTCGTAAAGCATGGTATACATATAAGCTTTCATGTCTGGGGGAATTGTCTCATCTACTGTACGTCATACAAAGGTGCGCAGTAAAAATCTGACATTCGGTTGTCACGATCTATTGCGTTAATGCTTCCCGGTGCGGTATTCGACTTCAGATACTGTCGGACGTGTGCTACTGGATGGTGCTGATGGTGCTTTGGCTTCCGTGCTTGTTCTTTAGCTTCTTTTAGGCGCTTTACTACCGGGGGAGGAAACACCATCGGAATTCTGGATGAAGCTGTTGGAATTCATTTGAATTTCAGTAAATCAGTTGAATTTATACTACCATAAATAACGAATGAGACCGTGTTAGACATACAGTTGTGAGATCTGTGACCTAACGATCGAATGACCTAACAATTATATAATCATTGAGAATTCCACTTCCGGTCCGAAGACGAAATTAGTCCCAGATAACCAATGAGGTTATTTTCCCTTTCCCAAAACAATGGTTTGTTTTTTATGTCTGCATACTGATTTATATATAAACTGCGTGATATGTATTGCGATGTATTTAACATGAAAACCAGCTTGTTCTGTTTTAGGTCTGTAATTATTTGAATTTGTGCTGACAATTCTACTTTTAATCCTGGTAAAATTGGGATCTGATTAATGGTGATTGTGATAATAAAACAATAATCCTTTAGTCCTTCCAAATATTGAATCAAAAAGTAACGCTACGGTGGCGGGGTTCAACCACGAGATGGCAAAGAGACAGTCTGTACCACTCAACCGCCGCCGATCGTAGTACAAGTTAGATAAATATGGTGAGACCGTAACGACAATAATAGCAGAATGGGGTGGGAGAGCAGCGGCATGAAAAACAAAGAAGTAAAGAGAATCGAAGTATCACGAACAATGTCTTCTTTATCTGTTTCATCATACACCTTGGTTATTTTTGTATCAGTTTACAATTTTTATGAGACAGGATTTCAACTGGCAGACGGCACAGCATTCACACGTCTTCTATTCTGAGTCGTACTTCTCAGCGTCTCTAACTAACGACAATCCTCATCCCTTGTGCATCATACAGGCAGTATGAACCAAAGGCCACAGTTGGCGGGGAGTATCTNCCTTGCACCTTGGGAAATACGCCTATATACTGGATCGCCTCATATGGCCTCTACTGGGGAAGCTCTACTCATTGCCTTCCTGCGGCGGTTTTCCCACCATAGTTTTTTTTTAAATTTCCACGCGTAACCAATTACAGAGAACTCGAAAATGTGCCACAACATATGAAAAAGAAATCTGTAGAATGTGTTCATAGGTTGTGTGGGCATGTTACTTTCCGGTTTTCCTGACCGAGGAAGAGGGATAACCTCGGGGTCCCCACCCGAAGCATTTAGCTGGAAACCCAGACCTGCAAGACATCAAGACGGAGCTCAGAGTCCGCAGTCCGCTGGGGGCTGGTGTCCAGTTCATNATCGAATCATACGCCCTTTGGACGGGGCCAAACGTCCAAGGTGCCCAATACACCTCAATGTACAACTGAGCCGGTGACCACTGCCGCAATCAGGATGGTGTGCATGTGGTTCGTACGCCTCCTCATTGTTGGTTTGAAATCAGGGTTTTTGGTCAACTCCTTTAAGTGAACTGCCAGTGGTCCACCAACGCGGTTATAGCCCCGAATGTCGGCTTTTCGTCCTGTCACTTTGGAAAAACAACACCACGAGGAGGTAGTGAGTGGGGTTTCCTCAGCAGAGGCTAGACGCTTGGTCATATAGGAGCATTTCGCGAGGTGTAAGGGTATGGTGACCAGTAACAATCCCAGACATCCACCCCGACCATAGAGGTTTTCGAAGTTAAAACGCGAAGCCAACATTCCGGCTATAACCGGGTAGGCAAACCACTATGTAACGTTTTACGAATCAAGCAAACGAGAGCGGAACGGAGAAGACTCGGAGTCGGAATTATACGCTTTACTCAACTAAAAAATCCGGTACATGAGCTGTAATAGAAAGAAAGAGGTTTATGTAATACGCGGTAGAAAAGGGTGTATAAACAAGAGAACCAGAACGTGACACACTAGCAGTTCGCCGACCCAAGTGGGCTAAAAACACTGATTTCGAACCAAACACCCAAACACGCATCCAAACCTTCCTGTTTGAAACAGTAGTCACGGCGTCGATTGGGCATCTTGAACGTTTGACCCCGTGCAAAGGGTGCATGATCCGATGAAATAGATATCAACCCCCAATGAATTGTGCTTTTTCACGCATCACCCCGATGCCTTTTAAGTCATGCTTTGACAGGTGCACGGTTCCGATTGTAAATCCTAAGGAAGGTTCACCTGCCTTGTCTCGAGCAACCTGGCTGTATCGCGCTCACTAGTAATCACGGTACTTATCTTTACGCAAATTTTATTGTACAGTGATTTAACTGACCCACAGTCTGGACTCCCACGTGTGAAATATCTTAATATATCTTGATATAATAATATCAACCAAAGCCAATGCTAAAGCTCTTTTATTCATGCTTCTGCACTGCGTCATAGTCTAACCTCCGCGACGTATCTTCCAGCGACGAAAGCATATTGAAATTAACGGCAAACCTTGGACAGACACGCAAAACTTAGCCGAGCCATCAATGGCAATGTAGAGCGATTAATTTTGCTTCCAGGGAACGATTATCCGCATCCAACACGACGACAAACTCCGTCATTGCCTACACGATGTTCCCATCAAACACGAGCAATGCTTTGAAGATGGTTGTATTGTATTGTATTGTAAAGTAATAACTTCTACAAACATGAAGCCCACATTTCAGTTAGATAGAAGTTAGATAGCCAGTTAGTATCCTTAACGAGGAAAGGCGTGGTCTCGTAACCGTAAGGCCAGAACTTATGAACCGCGGCAATACGCACCATTCCCGTAGGGAAAAACCAGATGTCATGGCGGTGCCACGAGTGTCACCAGTTGGCAGAAGCTGTCCCATTTTTTGCTCTTCGTTATGTGATCTCCCCAAAACCACCCACAGCGTCGATCCAGCTTTGGAGGTGCCTAAAGTTTTAAACTTCTTCCTTCTGATTACAATACACGGTGAGTGATGGCATAGGCCCCAGCCAATCTTCTGTAGGTAGAGTTATCATATGTTCCCCTGATTCTTTTGTCGCAAAGGTTATGTATACGAGACGTAGCTTGATATGGTCATCATTGTAGTCATCTGCTCTACGACCCTATATTCTAAACAGCCGGCCGTGTTTCATAACTCGTAACCAATGATTTATTTTCACTAATAACCATTATCTCTCGTTTGATTGTCTCACTGTTATCGAATGAGTGCTCGTTTGTCGTGTTTGTTCCTACCTCGGACAGTTTGATGATCCGCAAGCTACACGCGTTCGTCCTCGGGCAGTGCTGTGAAGAAAGCAACGATAATCTCATGTTCCAAGAAGTTTTACTCCCATCAACTCTTTATATGCAAGTCCTGCGTGTAAGTTGAACGCTGTATCCTCCTCGCCTATCTCGCTTCCTTCACATTGCAGATCGAATTTTGAGCGTAGCTAACCGTTTGATGACCAATCGCGTAACGGAAACAAACTAAGACTAATTTCACTAACCCTACACCGATGACGCATCCTATTGGTGGTGTCGCTTACCTTTCAATTTGGTTTCAGTTTGGTGGCAGTTGATTTGATTTCACTGGCCTAGGCAAAAATGTTACGGTCAGGTGTGAGCATAACTCGCATATGTTAAACAAGTTTTGGATATTTTAAAAGATTGGCATTACTTGAATTAAAAATAGCAAGTGAAACCAAAGGTGTAGTAAGATACGGTGGGTGCAGACGGCTTCCAGTGCATCTTTTGAAGCAGGCTTTGAAACTCTTCTTGGTAGTAGACAGCTTTGTTATAGTCCGGTTCAATGCTACGCCTAGCCCACTGGGGCCTTAAGTGGTTCGCCACTCCAAGTACCGGGGCGTAGGCTACTGATTTCAATCACTGAACGTCAGATCCTCATTACTATGGGGCTTTCTCTGTCTACTGGTCACCACACATTGGTGTGTAACAAAAAATACAAACCCATATAGTGGAAGCAAGAAAGCTGTCGACCTGATATTAGTGTTTTATCATCTTGATAAGTGTCATCGTTTGCGCTGACGGGGATAAGACCACTTCATTTTGTAGAGGTTCAGATAAACAATCTTGAGAACGGTCCTTTACTCGGAATCACCTACCGGTGGAAGACAGACTGACGTTTATGAGGATTTGTCTTTCACTGCGTAAAGGACAGGCACCGACGTGGAGTATGCAAGTTTTTAAATTCAGCAGGAATAGCTTTGTGCGTCCACTTGCATGTAAACAGTGCACAGTGTAGTCCAGTGTCTGACTCAACAAACAGCCGAAATCGTTATCGGGTGAAATAAAAATATAAAAAAAGCGTTGCAAGAAAACCTATTTTTCACTCGACAGTTCGATTTCTGAGAAATTCCTTTTCCAATTCAGTGTTTTTGATAGACAGGGTTCCTTAGCTCAGTAGTTTCCTGGTTTTTCATTATACACTTATAGTTTGTTGAACAGAAGACTGGGTGAACCCTATAGTCACGAAGACCTGGTGTTCAGTGCTGGAGACCAGCAACCTACGCCCCGACACTGGGAATGATGAACCACATAAGGCCCCGCTAGGTTAGGCGTGGTATTGAACCTGGAAGGCAGCAAAGCTACTTACCATGTCGTTCCTGTACATGACATCGTCTTCACTGACTGCGCTTGAGCAGATTGCATAGCCCAGTTGGTTCTAATTTGGAGTTCTCTCAGGCTCATTACCAAACATGACTCGTCCACCTTTCTGTTTTACCCATTGAAATTGTTTCATATAAATGTGATTGTGAAGACTTGAAAAGGAATTCGCCCAATTCGCGTACATTGTGTGATCCAAATACTCCTCATCATTTTTCTATAGGAAATGTCTAATTTGTATTCTGCGAAGAATGGTTTATCATGCTTCTATCTCATTATTTAATCCTCCTCCGTGGCAATATACATTTTGATGTCACAGTTCTCACATCGTTATGACTCATCTGAACAATCCGCTAATGGAAGTTCCTGATACCATCAGCAGATTTCATATGTTAAAAATAATTGTATTTTTTCTTCAGGACAAAATTTGTCAAACCCTGGATAGTACCAGGGATCACGTGCTCGCCAGAATTCGCAAAGGGAGAGTACGAATTAATCCAAGTGAGAAAGACAATTTTATCTTGGTTTTTCAATTTTCCTTCTTAAACTAAGTTATATAACGCATGAATCTAGGTTTGGCTAAGTAAGCACTTGCCCATCATCTTTTTATTAGCACTTTTTACTTGGTAGTATTCTTTTGATATTGGCGAGTAATCTAATTCATCCTATGATTGTGAATGACTTTCAGTTTACTTCCTCTGAATGTTTTACTCCTAAATTTTCAACCGTGTATTTCTTTCTTAGTCCCTGTGCTTCGTTTTTGGTAATGCTCACGATCTTCTATTATCATGGTTTATTTCCGTTCAGCCTTCATTCAACAGTCTCTACTGCTCCTGGCACCAGAAATAGGCTCATCAATGAACTATTTGTTGGCCACGGGGAACTTACCACCGAGTGTTCGAGCCAACTTGTCGCCACAACTTGGAGGTCAATCCACTGGGTTGAGCGTACCAGCAGATAATGTGAATTTCTTACGGTTGGCTGCTCAATTTCGTGCGATACATCGTGGTGCCATTTTCACCGATATGCGTACTACTTCCGTACGTCGTCTGTTGCCCGAGGCTTGGGGTTTCCTTTGCCCGGTCCACACACCGGATGGTGCTCCTTGCGGTCTGTTGAATCATTTGGCTGAACCGGTTGAAGTAAGTTGACGGTCAAGAGGCAGTGTGGTCGACCTCGTTTTGTTTACCTAGACATTCACGATCAGGCGGGTTACAGCTTCACCGTACTTGTTTGATACGAGTGCACAGTAGTTCTGCAAAGTTCGCTGCCATCATTTGGTTCAAAGGTGAACACGCAGAGGAGGAGCAGAATTGGCATGAAGAGAAAATCAAAAAGACATGAGAATTTTTTACCGGATCATCTAAACGTTCGTTGTCATCCGGTTCCTCAGTGACCTAAGGCTAAAATGTGAGTGAGTCCATTTCAGTTTCCGCAACCGTTAATCATGCACCTTCGTGCGGTGGTTTTGGTTGTTATCTTTTGGTCACCCATTTGGATGAAGAATGGGAGAAAGACAGGAAGATCGAAAGTAGAGTCGAACAAAAACTGGAGAATTTCAGTGGTCTAGGGTTGCAAGTAAATTGAGAGGATTCATGAACGCCACTGTTAACGACATTCGGCCAAATCACTCAGTGATGTGAGATCCTTATCATTTTTATAAATCAGTCTGTTTTAACTTGCAGTCAAATGAAAATGCCCTAATTCTTGATCGATCTACTATTGGTTCATTTGTACTGTCCTTCTCTGTTTGTAGGCTGTTTGTGAAACACCGAAACAATCGTCCGTAGACAGTTTAGCTGAATGGTTGTCCACGCACAAGTTAAGGCCCGTCGAACTGTCCCGCCAGTTGTCCGGGGTCACCGAGGAGCAAAATGCATTGCCGGTGCTGCTCGATGGCCGGCTCGTTGGTTGGTGCTCGTCTTGGACCGAATGCATGCTACTGGCTAACGAACTGCGAGACATGAAGCTGAACAAAAGCTCTTCACATGTCCCATACTCTCTGGAAATTGCAGCAGTCCCACCAACTGATGTGGGCTCTCAGTACCCGGGTTTGTTTCTTTTCACTGGTGCTTCACGTCTGCTACGACCAGTGAAAAATGTGCGCAATGGTCCTCAGAATGGCGCGGATCTAATCGAGTGGATTGGAACATTCGAACAACCCTACTTGGATATAGCGGTTACCGAGAAAGAACTGGAAGAACGATCGGAGGAGGATCGATCGCATATGGAACTAGCACCAGAAGCCATATTCAGTTTTGTTGCCGGTCTAACGCCATATCAAGATTTCAATCAGGTAATTGTCTGAATCAGTCATGTATACAAATTCATACAGTCACTTGATTGTGATATTTCTGTTATCTTGGCAGGTTGCGTTTGCGGAACGTGGTCATCACTAGAACTGCCTCATTTGAAATGCATAGATTTAGGTCTCCAGTTTGTGCAATCGATAGGTTTCGTATACGTTCTTACTTTGCATGCACTATCAGTGTAGTAGTAATCAACGAAGTTCGCTTCACTGTATTTCGTGGTACCATGATGACGGTTTATCATCGGTTTCTACTTTGAAAGACGAAACAACTTTCGTTTATCATTCATTTCCGAACTACGCAAAGGCTCTTCATCACTGATGGTGTATAACGATCTGGATAAGAAAATTGACACATCAGCGTTTTTAGTTATACTACCTCATCGGCATCGTTTTCAGGCTGTATCATATTGTTCGTGACGTGTTTATTCAGAATGTTAGGGACAAGATGATTTTGAAATTTAACTGTAATCAATGCCAATCGAGGTGTGTCTATTTCTTTTATTGACTCACCATCTCTGTTTTCCTGGATCTAAAAGCGGCTTTCGATGCAGTAGACCACTCTAAACTCTGGTGCTGCCTCGCCCTAAAAAATGTGCCCGAGAAGTTAATTTCAATATTACAGTTGCTTTTTACTAATAGCCGAGTCGGAGCTTACGGCACTTTTTCACCCGAGTTCACCACGGAACGTGGTGTTTGACAGGGTTGCTTTCTCTCCCTTTTTCTATTTAACTTCGGGATAGATTTAATTCTGGAAACAGCCCTATCCTCGTGCGAGGATAGCGGTATCGATTTACTCCCAGTTGGCAAACTCTGATATGGAGTATGTAGACGATATTGTGCTACTAAGTGAAGATCCAAGTAAGTTACAAGCATTACTGAATAGTTTGAGTGCTGGTGTATCCATGTTCGGTATGCGTTTTGCACCTTCAAGGTGTAAAATTTTACTACAAGATTGGGTTGATCCAGCAACCAGCTTCATTCTAACTGGGGAAGTAAAAGAGCAAGTAGACAAATTTTGCTACCTAACCAGCTANGTAGACAAATTTTGCTACCTAACCAGCTATATCTCACCTGGCGGAAGCATTACGGATGAAGTGTCGGCGCGCATACAAAAGGCTTGTCTGGCATTTGCCAACTTGAGACATTTGTGGTGCCGTCGCGACATCCGGCTGTCTGTGAAGGGTTAAGTATATGCTGCAACATTTCGGCCAGTTCTGCCCTACGGTGCAGAGAATTGGCCAGTAGGGAACAGGAACGGTGTTCGAACACTGCTGTGTACGTCGCATTGCATGACCCTGANTTTTAAGCAGTCGCGGTCGTCCACTGGAGCAAGTGATTAATCTCCACAGCTTACGTTCTTTGGGGTACGTGTTACGTATGTCACCAGATAGGTTGCCGCGGCAAACGATGTTTGCCAAGGCTGGTGGCGATTGGAAAAAGATAAAGGGTGGTCAAACAAAGACCTGGCATGAGGGTATGAAAACCCTAACCAGGACACTAGGTCACATAGGCTCCCTGACTGGGGACCTCGGGATGATGGTCACCAATGGTTAGAGACACTAAGTGAGACATGGCTGGGTGTCGCAAACAGTGGCGCTCGTGCATCCACTCATTATTCCCCTAACACCATTCTATATGATTTCTCCATCTTCCGCTTGAATTAGCTTTCAACATTCCAATCTTCATTCTGCTCCTTTATCCAAATGGGGCACCGAAAGACAGCAACCAAAACCGGCGCACGAAAGTGCATGGTTTATGGTTGTAAAAACTGAACTGAACTGTGCCCATTCAGAAAAAGGTTCAAACGTTCATGTTGTGCGATTTTCAATTGTCTTTTCGTCACAACTCTGTTCAGGTGGAGGTAATAGATGAACAGTTCAACCAGTCCATCATTTCCTCCGATTATCGGTCATGTTCTTTGATGTGAATTCAGAAATAATTATTGTTTGTGGGTACTGATGGGATTCTCCATTTTCTTTCGCCTACTGTTCATCCAAATGCGTAGCCAAAAGACAGCAACCAAAACCGGTGCACGAAAGTGCATGGTTATTGGTTGTTCAAACTGAACTGAACTCAGCTATGGGTATTGACTGATCATCTTTAGGAATTCTTCATACACAGACCTCAGTTCATCTAGACAATCATACGCGAGAAGCACTTACTGCACTTGAGTTTGCTGACTACTCACAAGTAACTGAGTTAACAATGCAAATTAAATCCAGTCTACATGAAATATGGGTTGGTGGGTTGGATGGCGGACATTTTGTCCGAGATAACAAATGGAATATCACGTCTCCCTTTTGAACGGTCCGACCAACAACTGACTGTTTCTGAAAAAAATACGGAGAAAATTATTTTGCGCTTCTGGTCAACCCCAGTTTAAGCTCGTGGAGTTAGAATATCATTACTGTCGAGTTTTAACGGGTGAAAAATTCAGGACTTAGGTACTGAGTATACTGTTGACTAGTTAAACTGGGGCTTGTGCATAAAGGTAAATCTAAACGATGGCCATTAAAATTAAAAATATCTATCCCTTTTTTATGACATCGATCCTTTATGTAATGAGCTATTAGCTAACTTGACCTTGCAGAGTCATCTACTATACTCATTTTCAAACACCTTCGTTTTTCCTTTTTAATATTATGTGTGTCTGCACCTTTTGGAACCATTAGTGTGTTGATTTGTTCGCTTGCAATTCATTGATGGGTTTACTTGTTACACCATTTTTTCTTCACAATCTAGTCTCCGCGCAACATGTACCAGTGTCAGATGGCTAAGCAAACAATGGGTCATTCCTCATACACCTGGCGTAACCGGTCGGACGCGAAAGCCTATCGTTTGCTCACACCACAGAGTCCGCTGGTACGAACCAAAACCTACGTGAAGTACGATTTAGATCACTATCCGTTGGGGTTCAATGCAATTGTGGCTGTGATGTCCTACACGGTAGGTCACCCAAGTGCGTCGTTTTCCTCGCAGTGTTGCCTTTTTCGTCTACCACACGCAGAACTTCTTTAGTGTACAGCACTGGTCGATTGTGATGCACCCTTCCATTCTCTTTAGTTACCTCTGAACTCATCATGGCCTAGGCCAACCACTACTGATGAAATAGGAGTATCCGCTACATTCTGAACCATTCCATCTGCTGAGTATGAACGAATCAGGAAAATCAATGCTATAAAAACTCACCAAGGCTTGTTTATTATTATTTGCTATTATTATTTTTATGCTGTTGCCAATGCGAAACCACAAGTGTTTCAGTTTCGGTTAGACCTGTATTTTTTACATTGTGTTGGGGGTTAGCACACTTCGTGGAAGCTGCTT